TTCTAGTTGGATGAGTCGTGTTGATGTGTTGGATATTTACTAGATGTTTACTAGAAATAAAGATGGGGATACTTGTCTTTGTAGCCTTCTGGTGTGTAGTATAGGTCTATGTGATGAGCTCCAGCATTCTTGTTTGAATTACAATTTTACGCCAAGATACACAATTTTCCCTTCATTTTACCTGGTTTCATTTTCACCCTCTCTTCCCCTCTAACCAAGTTATATATATTTACTGTCCTTAGGAATTACTTAGGCTTATCCATCTGGCAAATTAGGAATTTTACATCATTTAGAGAAGGGAACTAAGTCTCTCTAGACCTGGAAGTTTACGTCTTTCTCCAGATTTGATCTCACTTGTACTTCCAGTGGTCTAAAAGTGGAGCAGTCAGCAGGGAAGGGCATGCGCCCCCTCTTTTCTGTTGACACTTTTTTTTTTTTGAGATAGGCTCTTGCTCTGTCACCCAGGCTGGAGTGCAGAGGTGTGATCATGACTCACTACACCCTGGATCTCCTGGGCTCAAGTGATCCTCCCACCTGAGCCTCCCAAGTAGCTGGGACTATGGGTACCCAGCACCATGCCTGGCTAATTTTTTTAATTTTTTTTTTTTTGTGGAGATGGCGTCTCACTCTGTTGCACAGGCTGGTCTCAAACTTCTGGGCTGGAGCAAGCCTCCTGCCTTGGCCTCCCAAAGTGTTGACGTTCTTAAAAGATTACCACCCTTAGCCATCTGAAAAATATCTAATTAAAAACCCATGACTCTTCTCTGCTTCATACGTAGTCCTTTTTAACCATCACATGTCCAAGGAGGACCTCTGCAGACTAGTTACACAGCAGAAAGACAAGGGGACCTTATCGAGGCTCGGCTGCGGTTCCTGCTCCATCTGGGGAGGGTGTAGGCATTCTGCATCACTGTGTGGTAGCATGTAGCCAGGCACCTCCTGGAGCAGCCAGCGGTGCTTATATCCACTCTGCCAGGAAAGCTCCCTTAGGCCTTAAAAGGTTGAAAACAAGCAAACTGCTATAATGGCAACCTAGATTTGGTCCTTCGACTGCTAACAGTACATAATCTTGTTTGTATTTGCTCAGGCTTAAGAAAGCCCTCCCTGTCAGCCCACATGGGACAGATGTGAGTTAAAGCTTGGTTTTGGCACAGGAGAAGGAAGTCAAAACCTCATAAATTCCCAGGAGGCCCCTCTTTCTCCAGAGGCTTTTCCCCCTGATTTTTTAAGGCTAGGGAAGTTTCCGAGAACCTGTACAGTTAGACTTGGAGAAATACAGTGCACCATTTACATTTCTCCCTAGTATGGACTTGTTCTACTTCTAGTAAGGCTGACATCACAGAGCAAGAGAGATTGGATTTTAAAAAGAAATGACCTAAGCATAAGAAATCAGGACAGCAACTCCGGCTTGCTGAAGGTCTTCCAGTTAGTGGAAACCCTCTGGTGCAGTGGTGTCAGGTGGGGCGGGCTGCCCCCTCGGGACCAAGCCCGTCAGTGACCTAAATCATTCACGTGCTATGAATACACTCCTGTGCACTCTTCAGTTCCACTTCACCCACCCGGCTGCAGTGAGGCCTGAAGATTCGTGAAGCCTGTTTCTATAGGGAGAGTTTGCCCCATCACATACCTTGGTAGATTTATTTAAGACTTCAAATTTCGGCCGGGCGCAGTGGCTCAAGCCTGTAATCCCAACACTTTGGGAGGCCGAGATGGGCGGATCACGAGGTCAGGAGATGGAGACCATCCTGGCTAACACGGTGAAACCCCGTCTCTACTAAAAAATACAAAAAAACTAGCCGGGCGAGGTGGCGGGCGCCTGTAGTCCCAGCTACTAGGGAGGCTGAGGCAGGAGAATGGCGTGAACCTGGGAGGCGGAGCTTGCAGTGAGCTGAGATCCGGCCACTGCACTCCAGCCTGGGAGACAGAGTGAGACTCCGTCTCCAAAAAAAAAAAAAAGACTTCAATTTTATGAATTAAGGTGGTTTTTTTAGGAACCAATTGATGAACTTCACAAAATATGCGCAGCCCTGGGGCCCCAGCAGGCTTGCTTTTCTCCAGACAGTTCATAATTCAAAGGAGCTGCCTCCACCACCCCCATCTACTGAATAGCCAGGGGATGGCACCGATGAACAGCACAGTATGGGAGACACACCAACTACTCTTCAAATCGGTGCACACCTGCTCTGCGCGTGAAGGTGCAGAAAACCTCCACAGCCTTTTCAGTATTTGGTGCCTTTAAAGAGGCCTAAAGACTTAGTTTATTTTGGCTAGAATGGAATGCAGCAGTACAGCCTTCAGGCCTGGACAGTCAGGGTCTCCTCGGGCCCTGTGCTCTAGAGGGCCCACTCCGTCTCTGCTTCGCCAGCACCCCTTCCCCATCATGGGGCAGTTGGCCACCAGCCCTCCCTGTCCATTGCTTGACCATCCTCTGACTTCCTAGAATTTATAAGGTCCCTAGATATCCCAGAGCCTGCCACCACGGCCTCTGCAAGCCTCTCCTCAACCTTCACCCCAAGACTAGGGGCAGGAATGATAGGAAGGCTGGGCTGGTAGCGGGGATGTCCCACCTACGTGCCTGGGGAGACAAGCGAGAGCAGGCTGGGGTCTCTGCTTTATACTCTTGTGAGGCACAGATAGAGGCTAGCATCCAGGTCCCACAAACATACGCTAGAATCCAGAATGTTTTCTTGATTTAAAAACACCTTCAGGCCTGGCACCGTGGCTCATGCCAGTAATCTCAGCACTTTGGAGGGCTGAAGCAGGAGGATTGCTTGAGGCCAGGAGTTTGAGACCAGCCTGGGCAACATAGGGAGACCCAGTCTCTACAAAAAATTTAAAAAGCCAAGCATTGATCGTGTGTGCCTGTAGTCTCAACTACTAGGGAGGCTGAGGTGGGAGGATCGCTTGAGCCTGGGAGACTGAGGCTGCAGTGAGCCGTGATTGTGCCACTGCACTCCAATCTGGCAACAGAGCAAGACCTGGTCTTTAAAAATAAAAATAAAAATAAAAACATCTTTACAACATTCCTGTCTGTATTTTATAAACTCTTAAAATCTCAAAGCCTGAGCAGTTGATTCTAGAGCCGTAAAGCTCTGGTGGGTTGTGTGAAAGAACCCTGATTCATGCTCCTTTTATTGCAGTTGAGGGTGGGGCATAGGAAGGGCCTCAGTGCTGTGTGCCCTCTCTGTGACTCCGCTAGCATCTGTCATGGTGCTTCCTGAAAGAATGATGGTGTGCAGGCAGCAGAGATCAGCACCACCATGGTTTGCAGGCAGGCCTTGATCAGGCCCACTGTGGGGCATCTACCTCTAGTTCCATCAGCTTCCTAAAATCTGAAATGCTTTTAGAGATCCGGAAACCAGAATAGGGCTTCTCCAAGTAGGAGATAATGTCAGCCTGATTTAATGCGGAATTGCAAAAATACTTGTTCAAACTGAGGCTATAGGAATACCAGCCAGAAGAACAAACAAATTCTTCAGGGAAGCATCCAACACTGAAGCGGCAGCTTCTAAATGAACTGAAATTTTCTGCATGTTCTGTCAGAAAGTTACAATGTTAATTAATTAATAAAATCTTTTTGTTGTTGTTGTTGTTTTTGTTTTTTGAGACGGAGTCTCGCTGTGTCGCCCAGGGCGGGAGTTCGGTGGCGCGATCTCGCTCAGTGCAAGCTGCCGCCTCCCGGTCACGCCATTTTCCTGCCTCAGCCTCCCAAGTAGATGGGAACTACAGGCGCCCGCCTCACCGGCTAATTTTTTGTATTTTTGTTTTTAGTAGAAGGGGGTTTCACTGTGTCAGCCAGGATGGTCCTCGATCTCTGACTCGTGGATCTGCCCGTCTTGGCCTCCCAAAAGTGGCTGGGAATTACAGGCTTGAGCCACTGCGCCGGCCAAGTAAACATCATTTTTAAGCATTCTTCTGAGGTATGATGGAGCATGTGATGATTCAGAATGGCTTGATTTTTTTTTTTTTTTTTTTTTTTTTTGAGACAGAGTCTCACTCTCTTGTCCAGGCTGGAGTGCGAGTGGTGTGATCTTGAGCTCACTGCAACTTCCGCCTCCAGGTTTCAAGGTGGATTCTCCTGCCTCAGCCTTCTAGGTAGCTGGGACTACAGGCGTGCACCACCACACCTGGCTAGTTTGTATTTTTAGTAGAAACGGGGTTTTGCCATGTTGGCCAGGCTGGTCTCCAACTTCCAACTTCCGGTGATCCGCCCCCCCTTGGCATCCCAAAGTGTTGGGATTACAGGTGTGAGCCACGACACCCATCCAGGAATGGCTTGATATTGTCAGAAAAGAATAGCTCCGCTTTCCCTGAAGGTTATATTTAGAGTCGTAGGAGCCAGATACTTTGGAGCTAGAAGAAACCTACACGTAATCATCAGGTTAAAACCTCACTTTTGAAAATTAATGTAAAAAAAAATTTTTACAGTCAGGGTCTTGCTCTGTTGCCCCGGCTTGAGTGCAGTGTTGTGATCATAGCTCACTGCAGCCTCAAACTCCTGGGCTCAAGCAATCCTTCCACCTCAGCCTCCAGAGTAGGAAAACAAAAATATCAAGGAAAAAAAGAATACATCAAGGAATACAGACACACACCACCACACCCAGCTGGCTAATTAAAAAATTTTGTTTAATAAGAACAGCATTTCAGTATGATGCCTAGGCTGGTCTTGAACTCTTGGGCTCAAGCAATCCTCCCACCTTGGCCTCCCATAGGGCTGGGTGAGTCACCGTTGGCTGGTGTAAAACCTCACTTTTTAGGTAAAAAGGCTGAGGCCCAAAGAGGTTCTGTGACATGTCCCAATCCGTAGAGCTACTTTAGGGCAGAGCTGGTACTAGTTTCTGGGTTTCCAGGGCTCTTGACTCTAGGATTATAAATTGGGTAGGTTAAATTTGACATTTTTTTTCTTTTCTTTTTTTTTCAGAGCCTTGCTCTGTCATCCATGCTGGAGTACAGTGGTGCAATCTCAACTCACTGCAACCTCCGTCTCCCAGGTTCAGGTAGATCCTCCTGCCTCAGCCTCCTGAGTAGCTGGAATTACAGGCACGTGCCACCATGCCTGGCTAATTTTTGTATTTTTAGTAGACCCAGGGTTTCTCCATTTTGGCCAGGCTGGACTCGATCCCCTGACCTCAAGTGATATGTCCACCTTGGCCTCCCAAAGTGTTGGGATTACAGATGTGAGCCACTGCACCCAGCCTAAATTTGACATATTTTTAAAAAAATAATCATCTGGAGTAGACTGTGGCAATTTAGTCTCTAACAAAACATTTATAAAATGCCTGTCACCATGGTGCCTTGGTGTTGTCGAAGCTTTTTTGTGAATAAGGGGAGATGTTTTAGAGAAATGCCTTTGGTTGGAGGAGTCAGAAAGGATGAAAACATTTGAGAGTATCTGTGAATGTCTTGTTGAGAACATGCTCTCCAAAAGTGGAGTTCACGTTCAGATTTCGAAACATCTTTTTTCCTTTTGAAAATATGAAATGGAAAGCCTCGTTGCCAGACAGTGAGGACTGGCCTGTGGGTCCGAGGGAACATGTGCAGCCGTTCCTCCATGGGAAGGGCAGGCACTGAGGGACGAGGGACCCAGGGCCTTCTCCAGCATGGGAGCTCTAGCCAGGGCCGTGGTGGGTGATGAGAGTCTTGGATAGGAACAGTCCCCAGGAGTCAGCCAGTACCCCAGAAGGAGATGTGAATGTTACAGATCCAACAGTTCTGCCTCCAGGTTTTTTCTGGCTCCCACTAGCCCTGACCACTTTCCTCTTTCCTTTAAGGAGCCCTGTAGGTGCTATATTCATCCACCAGCATTCCTCACCACCAGGTCCCTCAGCTTTAACCCTATTCCTTTTGTTCCATTTTTTGGGGTTCCATTTTAGTCAGGAATAGTGACAGCAAGTTATGAGAAGCAAGAGAGATTTAGGGGGAAAAATGAGAATAATAACAGGCTCATTGACCCACCTCTGACTTTCATATTTAATTTTACATAAGCCTACATAACTTTAAGCAAACAGAAACTTTATGTTTTAGCCTACATAACTAAGCCTACATAAACTTTAAGCAAAACCACAGCTGGGTATCCTGTTGTTCTCAGAATATGAGTGGGCCTTTAATGAAAACCGACTTTAAAAAAGATAACAGCCAGGCGCGGTGGCTCACGCCTATAGTCCCAGCACTTTGGGAGGCTGAGGCCGGCGGATCACCTTAGGTCAGGAGTTCGAGACCACCTGGCTAACATGGTGAAACCTCATTTCTACGTGGCACACACCTGTAAACCCAGCTACTTGGGAGACTGAGGCGGGAGGATTGCTTGAACCTGGGAGGCGGAGGTTACTGTGAGCCAAGATCGTACCACTGCTCCCCAGCCTGGGCAACAGAGTAAGACTCCGTCTCAAAAAAAAAAAAAAAAAAAAAAAAGAGTCCCTTTCAGTGGCCTAATTAGCAAGAGACAAAATGTGAACAGGGCCAGGCACAGTGGCTCACTCTTGTAATTCCAGCACTTTGTGAGGCCGAGTAAGGCAAAGTGCCTCACTTTAGCACAGGGGTTCAAGACCAGTCTGGGCAAGGTAGTGAAACCCCATCCCTCCAAAAAATAAAGAAATTAGATGGGCGTGGTGGCGCACCTACGGTCACAGTTAATTGGGAGGCTGAGGTGAGAGGATCACTTGAGCACAGGAGGTCGAGGCTACAGTGAGCCAAGATTGTGCCAGTGCACTCCAGTCTGGGCAACAGAGCAAGACCTTTTCTTCACCAAAAAAAAAAAAGTGAACAGAAGACTATACTATACTACAAGAAGAATGTCTCCAGAACTATGCAGAATCTTCATAATGGTAGCCTTCGATATGGTAGTATTTTCTGGGGGAAATGTGAACACAGTGGCCCTTGGCCGCTTATCCAATTTGGTGGGAAATTAAAGTATGAATAGTAAGAAAGCAAGTTTTCCCACCCTACATATTTTATTAAAGAACACTTAGCTAGAATATGTTTTTAAAAAAGAAATAAAATGAGAAACCAAGGGATCTGAGACCCAAGCCTAGAGTTAGAAATTGTAGCTTCTAGGTTGGTCTCCGCCCTGGAATTCCTTTTGAGGTTCCATTTGAGTCTGTGCTGCTCAGTTTCTCTCTTATTAAAGGATAATTTGATTGCCACTGTGGTGTTAAAATACTCATGACGGAAAAGTGTTTTATTATCCAGAGATCAAAATTCCAGTGTTGGGGCCGGGCGCGGTGGCTCACATCTGTAATCCCAGCACTTTGGGAGGCTGAGGCAAGCAGATCACTTGAGCTCAGGAGTTATAGAGACCAACCTGGCCAACGTGGCAAAACGTCATCTCTACTAAAAATACAAAAAAATTAGCTGGGTGTGGTGGCGCATGCCTGTACTCCCAGGTACTCAGGAGCCTGAGGCACAAGAATCCCTTGAACCCAGGAGATGGAGGTTACAGTGAGCCGAGATCACGCCACTCCACTCTAGCCTGAGCAATAGAGAGAAGCTGCATCTAAAAAAAAAATAAAATTCCAATGATGGGACCATAAACATTTCAATCACTTTATTTATTTATTTATTTATTTTCATTATTTTGAGACAGAGTCTTACTCTGTTGCCCAGGCTGGAGTGCAGTGGCCCCATTTCGGCTCACTGCAACCTCCTCCTCCCAGGTTCAAGTGATTCTCCTGCCTGAGCCTCCCGAGTAGCTGGGATTACGGGCGCATGCCACCATGCCCAGCTAATTTTTGTATTTTTAGTAGAGACAGGGTTTATTGGCCAGGCTGGTCTTGAACTCCTGACCTCTGGTAATCCATCCGCCTCGGCCTCCCAAAGTGTTGGGATTACAGGCATGAGCCACTGCACCCAGCCTCATTTCAATCACTGTAATTAAAAAGTTGATTTCAAGTGGCACTAATATTCTATGAGCCCTGCAATGTTCAATTCCAATCCACATTATGTGAAAATTCAGAAAGTTTCTTAGCTTTCTAGGTTGGGAGAAAATGGACTTCAGTAACTCCCTTCTTTGGGAGATTGTTTCTAGTTCATGTCAGCTCAACCTCTGGGGCCCATGAAAGAAAACAAGTTTCCTTAGGATCTTTAGAGTCAGTCAAGTTCATTATAGCCTGAAGGTAAGACCATCTTTCAATAGCCATTCTCAGCTCACTACATTAGTATACCAACAGTCTGGGCCCTTCTTACTTCCTCCTATTTCAAATGTCACCATTGCAGTGTGTTTATTCCATGGGCTTAGCATATAGGGTATTTTTTGGTCCCTGCTTACCTGGCATATGGCCTAAATGCCATTACTCTTGGCCTCACCAGAGTGTACAAGTTGCTCATAAACCAAATCAAGATGTAAACAACAGCTGGATTCTTATTTTAAAAGAGTCACATGATTCCAGGGGGAAATCAGCTTTCAGCCCTTTGCCTCACAGTGGATTTGGTCTGTAGTTTCCCCATATAGTGCCAGAAAGCTGCATGATTGTTAGTTTGAGTCAGATACACAGATACACAGGCAGTCACATGTCCACAGTATACAATGACCTCACTGAGCAACTCATGTTTCCAGGATGTTGGGAAATTGACTTGCTGGAGGACCTTGTCCTTGTAATGTGGGGATGTCAGTGGTTTATATGATTT